GCAAGCTTGAAGATCCATGAATTTGGATAAATTTGGCTAGCCTGTTGAGGTCTGGCTCTAAATGACCAATGTAATGATTGATTTGCCCTAAATAATCACCGAAGGATTCCATCCTGTTCCATGTTAGAAGGACTTCTTTGACACCAAAAGGATGTCATTTGGAATAGGCCATTGTATTGTCCTGAACCCATTGCAACAGCTTCGTCATTGCTATATAAATTGAGGCGTTCATTGGGTAGAGGTTACAAATGGCCTAATCTGATCTTTCCCCTTATGCAGCAACAAAGGTAAAGGTTTTCCCTGTCCAGTTGTGTCTGACGCAAGGGGGCAGTGCTCATCTCCATTTCCTAGCCGAGGGAGTCACACAGCAAAACTTGGCCATCGTCTCCAGAGAAAAGGAAGACACGACAATGAGGACAGACTTTGGCTACAGCACCAACATCAAAAAATATATTATGTCATATAAATTGTGCATTTTACCTCGCTTTTTGATGTTTTGGTCTTGCTGAAGGCGGGTATTGTCATGTTGAGGAATTCTCAGAGTAATTAGTGTTTGTCACATGTTCTTGAGTTAATCTTCCCTTTCCTCCTTCACCTTTTCTTTATCGCCTCGTCCTGTACCTTCCGTTGTTATTCTGGAAATGTGTGGCTCTTTCATCCCCTATTTCCTTATCTCTCCTCCTCCCTGCCGCATCTCAATGATGTTTAGTGACATCTCTTGACCATGATATCCCCGCTCTCTTTCTGCAAGGCCTAATTATGCTGATGATAATTTAATTTAATTTAACTTAATTATTCCACAACTTTGTACATTGCTGTTCTCACCTCAGAACAGTTTGAAATCCCCAAATCTCTTCTCTGGTGAGTTGTAGAAGCTGTCAGAGACAATTTTTAAAAGGAATATGTGACTCTTGAGGACTAGGGAAAGGCTGGTCTATTGGATTTCTGGTGGTTGAATGAGGGGCTGCTCTATTCTCAGTTTCGGAGTAGGGTAGTTGAAAAGTGAAACAGGATAGGCGAGGGCTAAGGCATAGTAGCCAATGTATTTGACTGACATAGAGAGATACAGTTTCTATTCCATTTGCAGCCTCAGTTGGTGATTTTTTCAACTCAACCTACCTCACAGGGCTGTTATGAAAACTATAGGAGGATGGAGTACTAGGTATGTGCTTTAAGTTCTTGAACAAAGATAGGATATAGATACATAAGCGTGTTTGTATACCAAAGAAGGGGAACATAAAATAATAAAAATATCCAGGCCTTTCTTCACGCACTTTAAAATTGTTGCTTCTTTAAAAGCCTTTAAAGTGTTGAATCAATTCCTTGTTGCTGGCTAGGGTAGGGAACAAAGGACTGGGAAAGTGGCTGAGAAACTGTCACAGAAATTCAGAATGAGCATCATGTGACTACAGCAACAGCCTATCAGCCAGTAGCACTGAAGCAGCCCAAACTTTCCCAAATTCAATTTCCATAAGAGTCATGGGTCCCTGGATTTTGGATACATTCGGTGTACTTTGGTTCTGAAATTGTTGCCCTATGATGCAATATTTAACCCAATTTATTTATTTATTTTCAAATATTTATATGCCGCCCAATCCCAAAGGACTCAGGGCGGCGTACAAGTTAAAACAATGATAAAACAATAAAACAGTCATACCGCGAGTCCGATCATATCCCGGCCCCCCGGGGACATCAGCCCCAGGCCTGCCGGAACAGGAGAGTTTTAACGGCCTTCTTAAAGGCCGGCAGGGTGGGAGTAGTTCGAACCTCGGGGGGGAAGTTGATTCCACCAGGTCGGAGCCACCACAGAAAAGGCCCTTCCCCGAGGGCCCGCCAGCTGACATTGTCTGGCCAACGGGACCTGAAGGAGGCCCAATCTATGGGACCTCACCGGTCTCTGGGAGCTGTGCGGCAGAATGCGGTCCTGTAAGTAACCTGGCCCTATGCCATGAAGGGCTTTAAAGGTGATAACCAACACCTTGAATTGCGTCCGGAGACCCACAGGAAGCCAGTGCAGCTCGTGGAGGATAGGTGACATGTGGGCGTACCTTGGCGCCCACATGTCACCTGGTAATGATAACTAGAGATTTAGTATTATATAGACTACTACTAGAATAAATTCCTTTCTCCTTGTAGCTTCAGCTATGTCCTTCAGAATTGTCCCTGAAAGTTGGAGACTCTTTTGTGGAAGTTCAGAAGGACTTGTGATGGATGAAAAGAGAGAAGAGCAAAGAGAAATATATTTAATACAATATTCATATCCTATTAATACCATATCTTAAATGCAAATTTGTAAAATGCATCTTCCATGCAAAGTCCACGCATATCACAAGACACATTTCAAGGTGAGTTTATTTTTCAGAAGCACAAAATTCATATGCCAATAACAGACATGTGAGAACAAAATATCAAATACATACAGACATAGACTCTGGTGAATGATTGTGAAAGCATATAAGCAACATGTTCTTCCTTGCTAGTCATATCCAATATGCAAGTCATAAACTGGAAACAAATTTCAAGTGCTCAGTGTCAACGTTTCACACAGCTCTTTAAATTGTAATTCGCTTGTTTGTTACCTAATGTAATGGAGAGATCCAGAGCAGTGGTGGGATTCAGGCAGTTCGTACCAGTTCGACAGAACCGACACCTAATTTTTTGCTGACTTCAGCAAACCGGTTATGATAAATCTGCGCGAGCCCCCCCCCCCACCGCACTTTCTTGCGCACAGTTTCTTGCAGCCCTGCATCAGCCGGCATCTCCTTTCTCCGCTCTGGAAACGGCAGCCCCGTTTTCTGCTGCTTTCTTCCCAACAGAAGGGAGGAAAGGAAGGACGCTTCGAACGGAAGGAGGCTAAGGTAAACTACGCCAGCTGCGGCCTTCCCCGATGGTTCTGCAAAGCCCTGGAGGAGCGGATCCGCTTCCCGCAGGGTTGACCTTGGGCCCTGCTTGGGACGGTAAACAGAAGAGTTTTGCTCTTTTTCTCCAGGAGGCCCTTTGCAATTGTCCCTCCCCCCCTTTCGCTTTTCTGCCTTAAAATCCACAGCAGACACATCTTCCTCCTGATCAGGTAAGGATACGGTAGCTACCGGTATGAGTTTTGTAAGAAGCTAAGTGTCTGCTCTGGATTTTAAAGCAGAAAAGCAAAGGGGTGGGGGTGGGGGGGCAATTTCAAAGGGCCTCCTGGAGGAAAAGAGCAAACCTCTTGTTTGCTTTCTCAAGTGGGTGCCGAGGGTAAACCTGCCCGGTGGCGGCAGCCTCCTCCTCCACCAACTCTCCTGCGGCACAAGCCTCCCGGCCGGCTCCCTCCGCCAGCCCTCCCTCACCACCGCACACCTGCTTACACGAGGCAGCAGCCCATGTGGGCTGCCTTCTTCCCAGCCAAAGAGAGAAATGGAGAATGGCAGCTTAATGTACCTTCCTTCGCCTCCCCCGGTGTCCTCGTCAGTATTTCACAACCTTGACCATTTTAAGGCATGTGAACTTCAATTCCCAGAATTCCACAGCCAGCAATGCTGGCTGTGGAATTCTGGGAGTTGAAGTCCACATGCCTTAAAATGGTCAAGGTTGAGAAACACCTCCCTTCCTTCTGCTGGTCCGCATTTTCTTGCCACCCTGCATCGGCCGGCGTCTCCCTTCCCCGTTCTGGAAACGGCAGCCCCGTTTTCTGCCGCTTTCCTTCTCTGGCAGAAGGGAGGAAAGGAAGGACGCTTCGTATGGAAGAACGCTAAAATCCCGAGCAGACACTCAGCTTCTTAGAAAAATCATACCGGTAGCTACCGTATCCTCACCTAATCAGGAGGAAGATGTGTCTGCTCTGGATTTTAAGGCAGAAAAGCGAAAGGGGGCAGGGACAATTGCAAAAAAAGAAAAAGAGCAAAACTCTTCTGTTTACCGTCCGAAGCAGGGGCCGAGGCCAACCCTCCGGGAAGCGGATCCACTTCTCCAGGGCTTTGCAGAACCATCGGGGAAGGCTCCAGCTGGCGTAGTTTAGCTTAGCCTCCTTCCGTTCGAAGCGTCCGTCCTTTCCTCCCTTCTGTTGGGAGAAAAGCAGCAGAAAACGGGGCTGCCGTTTCCAGAGAAGGGAGACCCCGGCCAAGGCAGGGCGGCAAGAAAGTGCGGACCAGCAGAAGGAAGGAAGACTTAAGGACACCCAGGGAGGTGAAGGGAACTATCGTAAGCCGCCTTTCTCTCTTTCTTGGCTGGAAGAAGGCAGCCCACGTGGACTGCTGCTTCGTGCAAGCAGGTGCGTGGCGACGGAAGGCTGGTGGAGAGATACCTGGGCTGATGGAGGGAACCAGCAGAAGAGGCTTGCACACACACATACCCCGGTTACGGCGCAAGCCACGGGAGAATTGGTGGAAAAGGAGGAGATTGCTGCCTCCAGGCAACTGATCTGCGGGGCGGGGCGAAGCGTGGGCGGCAAGGGCGGCGGGGACCGAAGAAAGCCCCTCCAGCAGCAGACATGACTGTTGCGCAGTGGCAGCAGAATCTTTCGCCGCCACTCCCCCTGGCTCCGTAATGGTGGAGGGGGACTGGATAAGGTCCATCCTCCTCAGCATGGCAGTCTGATTCAGGAGGGGAGTGAAAAGGAAGCCGGGTCATTGCACCAGCGGGAGAAGGGGGAGGTTACCAAGCTCGGAGTGGCCTGGATGCAGGGCCCTTAAAGTAAGCAGGTGCTGGGTGCGTGGTGCAGCTTTCCCCCCCCCCTAGTTTGGTTTTTACCCATGTGCCTTTTAAAGGGTTCTATGATTTCAGAGAGAACTGGTTGTTAAATTATTTGAACCCCACCACTGATCCAGAAACTTTGATTTGGAGCATAGCGTAACGTGAAGTGTAAATAAAGAGCAAATTATGGTTTACCTGGGCTAAAGTAAGGCAAGTTATCAGTAAAATCAAATTTACAGAATTTACAGAATAAAATAAAATGTTTGACATCTAAATGAAGTCAGTGAAGACACCAAGTAAACATCTTTAAGGAGGCAACTTAGAAACAGATAGCCGCCTATATAAATGTATTTTTTTCTAAAATACATGTCACCTCAGAAAATGTATTTTTTTTCTAGCAAATTCTTGCCTTACTCCCAAAGGTAGGTATCCAGAAAATAGAAGTATGATTTAGCCTGAAAATGACATTTCCATTTTAACAGTAAAAGTGTAATTAAATAAAGAGAAATCTATCTGATAAAGTTTCATGAGTTTCTGTATTTGGTTCCAGTCCAGTTTTTTTAGATATTGGGTAGTGAAGTTCTTGTTTGTCCTTTGTGCATAAAATTTACTGTCTGGATATCGGACAATCTCTGGAACTCTGAGTCTGCTGAGAGTATGATTGACATCTTCCTGCAGCGTCTCATATTTTCCCAAGATGTCATAGTGAATATTGCAGGGATCACACAACTGGAACATTGGTTTCCAATGTATATCCAGATGTTTGTCATTGCTTGTTATAACATAGTTTACAAACTCTTGAAAAGTCACAGGCCCTGTAAGGTTTTTGTCTGTCCTAAACAAGGCTTTAATCTTATTTGCCACTGTGATGCTATAGTAAGGTTCATCATGCAATAATTTGTCTCTGTAAGCTGAGACCAGTCTTTCTAGGGGATGCCTGGTAAACATCACTTTGGTGAAGGAGTTCAAAAATTCTGCTTGTTGTTTAGATGGATAAGAACTCAACCGCTTTAGAAGGTTTGTTTTATGAATCTCTTCCTGGCTTACTTCAAAGACATCCCTACTCAAGTTGAGCCTGAGTAGCAAAACAATTTTCTTCCAGTTAGAACAGCCTACTTTTGGCACCTCACAATAGATAAATTTGTACTTCTCATCCACAAAGAGCTGTCTAGCCACGTGTACATCCAGTTTTCTTTTTAATTTTTTTAAATTCTTGCTCAGACAGATGGAATCCAAGTTGGTTTTACGATCGTTTTGTGTTTTCAACCAATCTTCTTTATGATCTAGAAAAATTCAGACTTTGTTGAGACAGTTTTTAAAAAGTAACAGCTTAAAAAAAATCAGATCTGCAATCCTGAATGCCATGTTTGGATGGGAATTTAGTGAATTTTATTTCCACGATATTTTAATTATATCTGGTGAACAGTGTTGTGGGAAGTAATTGCTATAGGATTAAGTGCTAATTTAAGCCAAGAGCTACCAAAATACTTTCAGTATGTCAATTGGATCACTAGAGGCAAGAATACTTTAGATCACTGCTACACAACATGAAAAGATGCTTATCTGTTTTTATTATGAGCAGCTGTGGGACACTTTGATCATTGTATGATTCACCTTGTACCTGTTTATAGACAAAGCTTAAAACCATAAAACCAACAATTAAATCAGTGAAGTTTTGGACTGAGGAGGCAAGGCTAAAGCTATAGGCTTGCCTTGACTGCACTGATTGGAAAGTTTGTAATCAGCAGACTTGGATGAACTCACAGATACTGTAACTTCACATGTTAGTTTTTGTGAAGACCTATGTGTGCCAATCAAAAACCTGTGAACATACAGTAACGACAAGCCTTGGTTCACAGCTAAACTCAAGCAGCTGCATCGTGACAAAGAGGAAACCTACAGGACAGGAGATAGAATGCTTGCTGAACAACCAGGCCAGAAATGTATTAACAAGGGAGATCAGAGCAGCAAAAAGAAACTACTCTGAAAAGCTAAGGAATCAGTTCTCAACAAATGAACCAGCAAATATGTGGTAAACTCTTAAAAATATCACTGGTTAAGCAACCGTCATTTCCACGCTGAAGGAAATCGACAACTGGCAGATGACCTGAATGTGTTTTACTGTAGGTTTGAGAGGAAACCACTGTCACCTATTTCCACCATCCCAGTCTTAGATATATCAACAATAGCCAATCCTCCTACAACTGACCCCATCCCTCTGGGCCCCCCATCTCTGGTAATTACAGAAAACATTGTGCAAGATCCATTTCATAGACAAAAGCCTGGAAAAGCACCCGGCCCAGACAAGATTGATTGATTGATTGATTGATTGATTGATTTATGCAAGCACTCTCTAAGCGTTGTACACCAGTAAGCAATGTATATATATATATATACAGGACCGCATTCTGCCACATAGTTCCCAGAGACCGGTGAGGTCCCATAGAGTGGGCCTCCTTCGGGTCCCGTCGGCCAGACAGTATCAGCTGGCGGGCCCTCGGGGAAGGGCCTTTTCTGTGGTGGCTCCGACCTGGTGGAATCAACTTCCCCCCGAGGTTCGAACAACTCCCACCCTGCCGGCCTTTAAGAAGGCTGTTAAAACCCTCCTGTTCCGGCAGGCCTGGGGCTGATGTCCCCGGGGGGGCCGGGATATGATCGGACTCGCGGTATGACTGTGGTATGACTGCTTTATTTTACTGTTTTATCATTGTTTTTAACTTTGTACGCCGCCCTGAGTCCTTTGGGATTGGGCGGCATATAAATACTGTAAATAAATAAATAAATAAATAAATTTACATTGCCCCCAACAATCTGGGTCCTCATTTTACCTACCCCGGAAGGATGGAAGGCAAGCTTGTGCTGACCAAATGGCCCCCATCTTTACCCTCATTTTTAAAAAAATCACTAGAGATGTGTTATGTTCCTTCTTACTTCAAATGCTCTACTATCATCCCAGTACTGAAGAAACCCTCCATCAAGGAACTGAATGACTACACACCAGTTGCTCTAACATCCATAGTTATGAAAATCTTTGAAAGGTTAGTGCTGGCCCTCCTGAAAACTATCACGGATCCACTCTTAGACCCCTTGTAATTTGCCTACTGAGCAAATAGATCGGCAGATGATCCTGTTAACATGGCTCTGCGCTACATCCTACAACACCTTGAATCTCCAAGGACTTATCCAAGGGTCCTTTTTGTAGCTCGGCATTCAATACCATCATTCCAGATATTCTTCTAACTAAATTAAATCAGCTGGCCGTACCTGACCACACCTGTAAATGGATCATAAGCTTTCTAACATACAGGAAGCAGCAGGTGAAGCTAGGCAAAATCACATCAGATACCTGTACAATTAGCACAGGGGTCGCCCAGGGCTGTGTGTTCTTTCTACCTGTCTTCTCTCTATATACCAATGACTGTTAAAGTAATGACATTTGCTGACAACACAACAGTGATTGGTCTCATTAGAGACAATGACGAATCTGCATACAGATGGGAGGTTGAACAACTAGCCTTGTGATGTGGCCAGAACAATCTTGAACTAAACACACTCAAAACTATAGAAATGTAGTAGATTTTAGGAGAAACCTTCCTATACTATCACCTCTTACAATACTAGACAACACAGTATCAACAGTAGAGAACTTCAAGTTTCTAGATTCTTTAATAACTCAAGACTTAATATAGACACCTAACATCAAAAACGTCATCAAAAAAGCACAACAAAGAATGTTCTTCCTGCGCCAACTCAGAAATCTCAGACTGCCCAAGGAGATGCTGATAAAGTTCTACAGAGGAATTATTAAGTCTGTCATCTGCACTTCTGTAACTGTCTGGTTTGGCACTGCAACCAAAACAAGACAGACACAGACTTCAACGGATAGTTAGAACTGCAGAAAAAATAATTGCTACCAGCCTGCCTTTCGTTAAGGACCTGTATACTGCATAAGCTAGAAAGAGGGCTGTGAAAATATATACAGCCCTTCACATCCTGGACATAAATTATTTCAATTTCTACCTTCAAAACAACGCTATAGGGCATTGCATGCCACAACTAGACACAAAGACAGTTTTCCTCCCCATACCATCACTCTACCAAACAACTAATTCCCACAACACTGTCAAACTATCTAGTAAGGCTGTATTACTATTGTTTTTCTCATCTTTCCTATTATCTATCTCCTAATCCAGTGATGGCGAATCTTTTAGAGACTGAGTGCCCAAACTGCAATCTAAAACCCATTTATGTATCGTCGGGTGCTGGGTGGGCGTGGTCCATTGGGTGGGTGTGGCTGCAGTGATAATGGCAGGCTGGGTGGGATTAAAAAGTTCAATCAATTCCAACTTTGCAAGATCTTTTTTTTTCCGCGAGAAGTTGAAATTTACTGATTGTACCTTTTTTTTTTTTTGCACACGGCAGCAGAGGCCTAAAACAAAAAGGGTTTATAAAACCCAACTGAAGGCCTAGGACCGGGACAACGGCGTGCGTGCTCACAGAGAGGGCTCTGAGTGCCCCCTCTGGCACCCGTGCCATAGGTTCGCCACCACTGTCCTAATCTATTTATGACTATAACTTTGTTGCTTGTATCTTATGATTTATATTGTTTTATTTAGTATCCTAGTATGATTTATGTTGATTGCTTATTTTAGCATTCTGTGAGTATCACTAAGTGTTGTATCTTACGATATATGATGAATGTATTTTTACGATGACTATGATCATGCTTAATCACTTATTGCTTGTTTAGGCACTGAAAGCTATACACTGAAGACAAATTCCTTGAATGTCCAATCACACTTGGCCAATGAAGAATTCTATTCTATTCTATTCTATTCTATTCTATTCTATTCTATTTCCTCTGAAACAGAAATGAAATCATGGAGATTTTCCAAACATTCCAGTTTGTGAGGGTTCTTTGCTTTTCTGAGACTGAACACACCCCAGTGTAGCAGATCTATACACAGTGCTTTATTGCAGCACACACCTTCTTCAATTACAGGATATTACTATGGGTTATCTTCACCCTTCTAGGCTTTACAAATTGATACTGTCATATAAGTGCATCTTTAATACACAGCCCTTTATACTCTTCAAACAAAAGTCTCAAAGTCTGTTAAGTGGCATACAACCTTTGTCTCCTTCTAAAAGTTCTTGTACTAGTTGCGATGAGGTGCTGCGTCAGTGTGGTTGCCTCTTTTCTGGTTTCTGCCAAGCTCCAGGTCAAGCTCCAAGCTCTGCTCTTAAGCGTTATTGCTTAAGAGCACTCCAGTTAAGTTCCCAATCCAAACTCCAGGCAAGAATCCCACCAGGATATGCCACTTATTGTAGCTTATGGTTTGGCAAATGATTGATAACCCACCCGTGATAGTTATCAGTTTCCAAACATTGCCTCCTACTTCTCATCTGATTGCTGTGTTCTTATCTACTCTTCTCCTACACACTAACAGGCATTCCTGGTGTTTATTTTTGCAAGCAAGGGCCCAGGTTGGGTGAGGCTGCTTACAGACATCTGCACAACCTTGAAAGTGCCAGGGTGTGGGTCTATTAGCCAGCCAGCTGGAACCCCAACATGGATGTTTGAAAGTAAACTTATGAATGAATACATAAAGGCACACATACATTCATGAGCCCATCTCTTAGGGTTTTGGCCTTTGTGGAAAAAACTCATGAGCTGTGCTGTGCCTTGGAAAGTGGGGTGGGAAGTATTTCTGCCTGGCTGCAGGTGCTTTTCCTTAGTGCAGGCAGCAATCCCAGTGTCGGAAGCTACCCAAGTCACCTCACCTACTCAAGAGAAGGTCGAGACCCCAGATATAGCTGCCATCACACCTGCTTCATATGACAGCGATGACGAGGGAGAGAATGACCAGATAGTGAGTCAGCCTGTTCCACCTTTTTCCCTCTCTGCCAAGCTTATAGTTCCTAAGACAGGAGCCCAAATGGACTTGCAAGTGTTGGTAGACGCAGGGTGTTCACACTGCCTAATCAGCCTTCCAATTGTCCTAAAATTAGGCATCAGAGTGAGGCAACTCTCCAACCCCATGAAATTTGAACAGGCAGATGGATCTTTAATGGGAGGAACCTTAATTACCCACCTAATGGAGCCAATGCGGCTAGAAGTAGATGAACATTGGGAATTCATTCTATTCGCAGTGGGTCCAAAAATGACTTAAGCAGTGATTCTAGGGCTAGCTTGGTTAGACAAGTGGAAACCTTTTATATGATGGGAGAACGGAATGAGAACTTTGAGGTTATCCATAGGACCCTCACCTCCCAGCTCCTCCCATGACATTAGCAAAGAAGCGAACCCGCCATCTGAATCAATAAAGATAGCGACAATTCCCCTGCCAGGAGTGCCTCTCGTTCCCAGCAAATACTGGGACTTAGCAGAAGTGTTTAGTGAGGCAGAATGCGATATCCTGCCTCCCCACAGAACAAATGACTGTGCCATTGAAATTCTGCCAGGGGCCAAGTTACCAAAGCCAAAGATGTATGTCATGAAGATGTATGTCCTCGAAGTGGAAGAATTATGGCAGTATATTGACAAGAATTTAGCCAGAGGTTTCATCAAGCCTGCCAAATCCAAGATAGTGGCCCCGGTGCTATTTAAAGAGAAAAAAGATGGGTTGCTTAGGCTCTGCATGGATTTTAAGAGCCTTAACAGGGTGAGTGTGGAAAATATGTACCCCCTTCCCTTAATGAAAGTCTTGTTAACTCATCTGGTGAAGGGGAGAATCTTTACCAAATTAGACCTGAGAGAGGTGTACTATCATGTGAGAATTAGAGAAGGCGATGAATGGAAAACAGCTTACAACAGCTCTCTGGGTAACTATCAGTTTAAGGTCATGCCTTTTGGATTACACGGACACCTACTGTGTCCATGCAGTTGATTAACCAGGTCCTACACAATCATTTATACAAAGGGGTTTTGGTGTATCTTGATGACATCTTAATCTATACAGAGACTATGGCAGAGCATATAGGTGTAGTGTGAGAAGTTTTGAAAAAACTGCTGAATGTTAAACTCTATGCCAAACTTTCTAAATACGAATTCCATCAGACACATATGGATTATTTGGGCTATAGAATTTCTAGTGAAGGCATCGAAATGGATCCAGCTAAAGTGAAGGCTGTTCTAGAATGGCAGCCCCCAAATATGCAGGAACAACTCCAGAGTTTCCTGGGATTTGCTAATTTTTACCGTTGGTTCATTCCTTCATTTGCTGAGATTGCTTTGCCCCTAACAGAACTATTAAAAACTGGTAGGGATAGGGTAAAACCGTGTCCAGGACAGCCCCTGCACTGGTCGTTGGAATGCAAAACTGCTTTTGAGAATTTAAAAAGATTGTTCGCTGCTGAACCAATTCTAAAACACACCAAGAGGAACAATTTGTAATTCAAGCTGATGCTACAATGTAGCTTTGAGGGCAGTACTCCTGCAAAAGAATCGTGAGGGAGTTTTACAGCCTTGTGCTTACACTTCAAAAAAAATTCACCGACACAGAAAGGAGGTGGGCAATTTGGGAGAAAGAAGCTTTTTCTACTAGATGAGCTTTGCTAATGTGGCGTTATTAGAAGGGAGCAAGGTGCCTTTAGACGTATGGACTGATCACAAAAATTTAGAGGCACTGAAAACTCCCCGTAAACTGTCACCTAAACAAGTGCACTGGGCACAATATTTTAATTGTTTTAATTTCACCCTGAAATGTTCTCTGGATGGAAAGAATTTCTTAGCTGATGCCCATTCCAGATTGCCCCAATACAAAGCCAATGTGAGCAAGTCATAGACTCTGTTATGCCTCCACCTCAAGTTATTTCTCAGATAACTCCCCAGAGTCACCAATCTGCAAGGACTATTTACAGACTACACGGTGCGCCAAAGCTAATAATTTCCAACAGGGGGTGCAGTTTGTGGCCAGCTTCTGGAGGCACTTTGTAAAATTAATTGGTTCCATGCAAAGATTGCCATCGGCTTTCAACTGTCTATGAATGGGGTAGCTGAAAAAGCAAATGCAATGGTGGAGCAATATCTTAGATGCTATGTGGATTACCAACAGACAAATTGGACTGATCTCCGTTTTGCTGAAGTGGTTTATAACAACACTATACACAGCAGTACCGGATTTATGCCTTTAAAATAGCCACAGGGAGGATTTCATCCCGATGCCTGAATACCCCCAGGAACCAGCTGCCTCTCAGATTTTAAATCAATGGGTGTCTGCTTGGAAAGAGGTGTGGGACAATGCAAAGAAAGCTTTGAAGAAAGCCTCAGAGTCTTAACAAAAAACAAGCGGATAAGAAAAGAGCACCTCAAAAGCCATTTCGTGTCGGGAAGAAGGTTCACCTTTCTACAAAATACTTAAGACTCAAATTACCTAGAAAGAAATTGGGGCCAAAATACCTGGGACCTTTTCCCATAGTGCAGATTTTAAGCCCAGTGACTGTGGAACTAAAACTCCCTCGACTTTTAGGAAAGATCCAGCCTGTATTCCACTGTAGTTTGTTGAAGCCTTTCAGAGATTCTACTCTAAGACTCCCTCCCAAAAAAAGCACCTGGTCCCCTTGTGGTAGCTGGGGAGACTCATTACAAAGTGAAGCATATCCTTGATGCTAGATTGTATAAAGGGAAATTGCAATATTTAGTTCAATGGAAAGGGTATCCATTGTCAGAAGCTACCTGGGTGAAGTGTACTGATGTAAAGGCTGTAAATTTTATGATAAACTTCCGAACAAACCAAGAGGGAATTACTAACTTTTGCTTTTGTTTGATTTGCAGGATTTCTCTTTTCTTTTAAGGGGGGACTGAATGTCAGCGTTGTGACACTTGAACAGGAACCATTTTTTTCATTTCGTATCCATTGCCACTTTTAGTTTAGAGAGATAGCTGAGGGGGAGAAGGGGTGCTGAAGTTCTTAGCTAGCCATAACTATGCATCTGTATGAGAATCAAGGTTAAGGCTGATAAGAGTTTTGGCAGGCTGTAAAGCTGGGACAAGAGCCTGTGTTTTGAAGTCATAGGAGAATGTGATTTATGACAGCAATTTGGGGTGGGAATTACAACTTGTTACTTTATAGCCTGAGGGAGGGATTTTTAGTCTTGGGTTCAACTATGTAAGTGCCGATACTTTGTTTCCAAAATAAAATGTTCTTTGAGGGAGAAATCTTTGCCTTGAAGTTCTTTTGATCGGTTTCATCTATTCTATCGGAACCATGACACCCAGGTTCACTCCCTCCCACACTTGTATGGCTTTTTCAGGTTTCTTCAAGCCTCCTTCATTCCCTACACATTGAATAGAAGGCTACAGAGCTGTGACTTGGCTCTTCTCTTATTTCACTTTTATTATCAATTATTTGAATGAGAGACCTGAAATGATACTTTTAAAAGTTTGCAGACGTCATGCAGATGTCATAAAGCTGGGGGAGGGGCAATTAATGCTTTGGATGAATGAGGGAAATTTCAGAAAGCTCCAGACAGCCTGGAGCAATGAATTCCAGTGAACAAGATGGAAATGAAAAATCCTGCATCTGGATAGGAAACTACCCCTACCCTCTTCATGTGTCTTGGATTGTAAGGTTTGATTTTAACTTTTTGTGCTTTAATGTAATTGTAAGCCGCACAGAGTTACGCTATGGTAAGATCACCCAGAATCAGTCTTCCTGAGAAGGGCAGCTATATAAATTTAATAAATAAATGCCAAAATCAGCAGTAAGCATCCAGAATAGATGTTTGACTAAATGTAAGCAAGAATTGCTTCTTTATATATTCCAAGTCATATAACAAGGCCAACTCAAATATTTAGAATATGGTTTTCAAGGGGAAAATAGTTGATGTCAAGATAGAAACCAAAAGCTATTTCAATGTTTATAAATAATTTGATGAAATCACCAGCTGGGTATATTGGGAGGGAATCTAGAATTTAATATTGTTTTTGCTTACTATTTTTAAGGGTTTTCTTTTCGTATATATTTTTTTGCCTTGAAATTATTTCTCAGAATGATATGATTAATTTTATATGTTTAAGAATCATTGAAATAATGATTTTTTTAAAATCTTAATGACAATTGTAACCTGTTTGTTTACTGAGGCTTTTTTCCCCTTCCACAGTGCCTTTTATTATTTTCTTTTTTTCTTTTGTCTAGTCATTTATTGTAATCTTTAATGTTTGTTTTAGAAAGAAGTTGTGAAAGTTTTAAGGGCATGTGTATATTTCAAGGAGAACAGGCATCAGGTTTAGAGTTGAGAGGATGGCACGCCTATTGGTCATTGCAAATTTAGGAAAGTATATATGGCTGCTAATACTTCTGTTTGTGAGATCTGTAAACCAATGATTAGGTCTGTGAGTAAATGCTTCTTTAGTTTTCACATAATTTGCTATTCAAAACTACATGAGGAGCAGCAGAATCCATAGTATGTTCTGTGGTCTTATCATCTATCAACCCAGAACTACAAGACTCATTGTTTCTGAATGTGTTTTGACATTGATTTTAACACATTTGTTTCCCATCCTTTTCTTTTCTTTTTATTCTTATTTCCTTATTCTGTCTCTGAGTGTAATGTTAACAGAGTCCCACTTGTGTATCATATTCACCTACTTTTTTATGTTTACTTAGTGGAACACAAACATGATTGACCCCACATACTGGAATTCAGTTAATTCATGATCCACTGTCTTACCTGTTATTTTTGTGTGCCATTGAATAGGAAAAAATAATCCAAGCAGTACACCCAGCAGGAGAAACATGAACAACTTTTCAAGCAGGTGAGTCATTATGGTTTCCTAACAGGCCAAATGCTGTTAGGAGGAACAAGAAAAATGAAATCTGGATCAGAGCATTGCATCTCAAGAGTATAAGTAAACTGATCCCCATCAACCACTTGTTAGTTCCATTAGCTGAAGATCATGCCACTTTGATCCAACACATGATCCATCTGCGAAATCAGGTCCTCTCCTTCTCCCTCCAGCATGAAAATCATAAACCTATAGTCACATCCGATATGTAAAGCTATCACACTTCCTATAGCTAAAAGCTCTAATGTGGTACAAAAGGGACAGGCAGCCTATTTACTTTGCATAATAGTCCTCTGAAAAAGTGATAGAGAGAATATGGATTTTAATACACAAATACTCCCTTGATCCCATCTATCCCCCATGTTGCCTCTGGACAAAGCATTATAGTTTGAAAAGAGCATCTTTGGGACTATAAAGATTGTATTTTGTCAAAATTTTCATTTTAGCCAAACCATAATGATGATCCTAATCTACATATGTTATTAAAAGAGAAGCATCATTTAAGCTATGTATTTACTTTTCCAAACTTGAAACATCATTTTGATGAAAACATTTTCAATCTTTTTTATTCTGTAAAAATGTTTTGGATTAGAAAAAAATATTGATTTATAAAATCATTTGGTTCTAGTATAGTTTCAGTTTGGATCAATATTTAAGTTTCCTCTTATTATAAAATTATCCATGTTATTTATTCTTTTTACTACTCCTAAATTTTATTTATGTAATGATTTTTATTAAATTTTTAAATATAAAATACAAATAAAAATAAAGAAAATGGAAAAAGGAGGTAAAGGGAAAAGCGGAAGGGAAAAGGGTGAGGGAAAGGGAAAGAAAAAGCAAATTTTTCCCGCCTAGTAAATTACATAGTAGAAGTATAATCTCAGTATTTTACTTGTATAAGAATAGTAAATATTAATTACATACAGCAAAAACAATCTCTTTAATTGGAATGAAGTGATCTTTCACACTTTTGACAGAATATCAATTAAAACCTTCCCAAGGAAAATTACTGAAAGTCTTCTTTGAATTAATTAATTAATTTAGCATTGTTTGACTTTTGGAGGCATAAAAATGGACAGAATAGAGTATATGCTTTTTATTCAGAATGACAAATCATTTTCAAGAATAGATATGATATGGATTTCTGAAAGTTTAGCTAACAAAATGTCAAAAGTGGACATTTTGTCTAAAACCTTTTCTGCTCGCAACCCAGTTCTTTTGATACTTAAAAAAAGACTTTTACATTATAGATGGAGATTGAATGAAACTATCTTACAGAAAAAGGTTCTAAAGGACTGTAAAGAAAAACTAAAATATTTTAATAATAATTTGGGTAAAGGTATGAGCTTAATGACTGTTTGGGAAGTGAGTAAAGCTGTGATGAAAGGCTATTTCATTCAATATAACCATTTGGAAAATAAACGTCAAGAAAATATGTGAAGGATATTTGATGAACTTAAAAAAAGAAACTGAGTTACAGAAGGCACCAACAGACTCTAAACTTTTACATTAAATTAAGTTACTTTGCCAGCAACTATCTATGTTGACTGCCCAAGAAATAGAAATAAAACTGAATAATGAGAAAGAAAGACACATTGAGTTCACAAATAAATGAGAAAGATAACCGCATATAAATTGAGAAAAGAGAAAAGACAATGATTGGAAAATCAGGAGGATAACTCAAGGCTAACTGATGATAACTCCATTACAAAGCCCTTTGATAATTTCTACTATTCATAAACTTTTGTAGATAATCAATCTGATACTGATTGGGAGCATATATAGTTGAAGGTGATGGTTCATTACTCCTAGCTTCCCCAGACTTTCTCATATAAGGTTACAGTGGGGAAGAATTGGACAAGATTCTATGTAGGCCACCTTGAGCTCCTAAAATAAAGGGAAGATATATATCTAACCAAAAATGAATAAGTACAATGAAATAAAAAGTGGCTGAATTCATACAAGAAGGTAAGCAAACAAACAAACAGAAAGAAAAGGAATGTGTAAATATAGCCTGTACAAAAGAAAAAAAATAATATCTAGCTTGCATTGGGCTCTCAGAATCTGATAATATACACATGATACAAATACAGTATTGCAAAAAATACATCTTAAATTTGAGGCTAGTATCTCCAGCCACTGTTATTAGTAAGGAGGGATGTGGGAGCTGCAGTTCCACAATACCTGGCAGGGCACAAGGTTGTCTTCACTTATGGCCAAGGAAAAGTGTTTCCCTTTGCAAAGATGCTTTTCTGCAGCCAGACTGCAGGAAATTTCATTCTCTCAATAAAATATCAAAAGAAGTCTTGTATGCATGTCAGAGAAGCCCCCAAGAGATTATTAGGATAAAAAAATCAAAACCGTCCCTTCCCCACCTATCTCTCCCCCAAAAAAGGGCAGGGAGAGAAATATAATTAAAAAGTTATCTATGTGGTTCAGAAAGAGAGAGAGAATTATAAAAAAATCTTAGAGCAAGGGTTGAATTGAGGAACCTACCGGTTTTATGCACCTTTATATTGGCTGTTTTATGGTAACTTTTAAGATATAAGGGGAAAAGGAACTCTGAAATGAAATGCAGAAAAAAGTCAAGATTTATTGAAAGAAGGATTAAGATAGTATTACCAGGGAGTGTCTATATTCCAGGAAGTGGAAAAATAACCTGTAGCTGAGGAAGAGAGATTCAAGAAAGAAAAAAAAACATCGAGGATAGTTAGGCTTTATTAAGTCTCTAAAATTTATCCAAAGGAGTGCAAAAGGCAAATGGTATTAAAAAGGATAAGACTTCATGAGAATCAATGGATTGACATGTTGCATTATTAAAGCATTTGATGATTTAAATACTTTAAATCATAATTTATTTAATAGACCATGATTGGTTGGGTTCACACAGCTTGCTGAGCCAAAATCAACATGTCTTGACACGTTGAGACTATTTTAATTTGACCTTCAGTCAATCTCATCATGGGGGATTGGAATGCTAAGGTAGGAAGCCAAAAGATAACCGGAATAACAGGCAAGTTATTATAACAAGTTATTATAACAGGCAAGTTATTATAACAAGCAGGGCACAGGCTAATAGAATTTTGTCAAGAGAACACGATGGTCATAACAAACACTCTTTTCCAACAACCCAAGAGACGGCCCTACACATGGACATCACCAGATGGTCAACATAGAAATCAGATTGACTATGTGTTCTGCAGCCAAAGATAGAGAAGCTCTATACAGTCAGTAAAAACAAGACCAGGAGCTGACTGTGGCTCAGATCATGAGCTTCTTGTTGCAAAATTTAGGCTTAAATTGAAAAAAGTAGGGAAAAGCACTAGGCCACTCAGGTATGAACTAAATCATATTCCTGATGAATATACAGTAGAGGTGACAAATAGATTTAAGGAACTGGATCTGATAGACAGAATGCCTGAAGAACTATGGATGGAAGTTCACAACATTGTACAAGAGGTAGCAACTAAAACCATCCCAAAGAAAAAGAAATGCAAGAAAGCAAAATGGCTGTCTGAGGAAGCTTTGCAAATAGCTGAGGAAAGAAGGGAAGCGAAAGGCAAAGGAGAAAGAGAAAGATACACCCAATTGAATGCAGAATTCCAGAGAGTAGCTAGAAGAGATAAGAATGCCTTCTTAAATGAACAGTGCAAAGAAATAGAAGAAAACAACAGAATAGGGAGGACCAGAGATCTCTTCAAGAAAATTGGAGATATGAAGGGAACGTTTCATGCAAAGATGGGCATGATAAAGGACCAAAATGGCAGAGACCTAACAGAGGCAGAAGAGATTAAGAAGAGATGGCAAAACTACACAGAAGAACTATACAAGAATGAGCTTAACATCCCAGATAACCACAATGAGATGGTCATTGACCTCGAACCAGACATCCTAGAATGTGAAGTGAAATGGGCCTTAGAAAATCTGAGCAACAACAAAGCTAGTGGAGGTGACAGTATTCCAGCTGAGCTATTCAAAATCTTAAAAGACGATGCAGTAAAAGTGCTACACTCAATTTGCCAGCAAATTTGGAAAACTCAACAGTGGCCACAGGATTGGAAAAGGTCAGTTTACATTCCAATTCCAAAGAAAGGCAATGCCAAAGAATGTTCAAACTATCGCACCATTGCACTCATTTCACATGCTAGTAAAGTTATGCTTAAAATCCTACAAGCTAGACTCCAGCAGTATGTGGATCGAGAACTACCAGAAGTACAGGCAGGATTTCGAAGAGGCAGAGGAACTAGAGATCAAATTGCCAACATACGCTGGATCATGGAGAAAGCTAGGGAGTTCCAGAAAAACATCTACTTCTGCTTCATTGACTATGCAAAAGCCTTTGATTGTGTGGATCACAACAAATTGTGGCAAGTTCTTAAAGAGATGGGAGTACCAGACCATCTCATTTGTCTCTTGAGAAACCTATATGCGGGTCAAGAAGCAACAGTGAGAACTGGACACGGAACCACTGATTGGTTCAAAATTGGAAAAGGAGTCCGGCAAGGCTGTATACTGTTGCCCTGCCTATTTAACTTATATGCAGAGCACATCATGAGAAAGGCAGGGCTAGATGAATCAAAAGTTGGAATTAAGATTGCCGGGAGAAATATCACCAACCTAAGATATGCAGATGATACCACTCTAATGGCAGAAAGTGAAGAGGAACTAAAGAGCCTCTTGATGCGGGTGAAGAAGGAGAGTGCAAAAGTTGGCTTGAAACTCAACATTAAGAAAACCAAAATCATGGCATCCGGCCCTCTCAATTCCTGGCAAATAGATGGGGAAGAAATGGAGGTAGTGACAGATTTTATTTTTCTGGGCTCAAAGATCACCTCAGATGGGGACTGCAGCCAAGAAATTAAAAGACGCTTGCTCCTGGGGAGGAAAGCTATGGCAAATCTAGACAGCATACTAAAAAGCAGAGACATCACCCTGCCAACAAAAGTGCGTATAGTCCAGGCCATGGTTTTCCCAGTTGCAATGTATGGCTGTGAAAGTTGGACCATAAGAAAGGCTGAGCGCAAAGAATTGAGGCCTTTGAACTATGGTGCTGGAGAAGACTCCTGCGAGTCCCTTGGACTGCAAGGCGTTCAAACCGGTCAGTCCTAGAAGAGATCAACCCCGACTGCTCTTTAGAAGGCCAGATCCTGAAGTTGAAACTCAAGTACTTTGGCCACCTAATGAGAAGGAAGGATTCACTGGAGAAGAGCCTAATGCTGGGAAAGATTGAGGGCAATAGAAGAAGGGGACGACAGAGAATGAGATGGCTGGATGGAGTCACTGAAGCAGTAGGTGTGAATTTAAATGGACTCCAGAAGATGGTAGAGGACAGGAAGACCTGGAGGAACGTTGTCCATGGGGTCGCGATGGGTCGGACACGACTTCGCAATTAACAACAACAACAACAATCTCTGTACTTACTTATTGATTTCTTAAAATGGTTATTGGCTTCCAATCATTTTTGTAATTATTTTTGTTATTTGCAGTGGATTCCAGGATCAGAATTATTATACATAATTTTATTTTTCAAAAAAAAAAAGTGAGTAATTCCTTATCATTTACTTTGGAGTGGGGCAGGAGTTGCTGGTTGCTTATTCAACTAAATGGGAACCATGGCTTCTACTTCTATGTCTGCTTGCTCATCTAATGGAATTGTATTCAATAGAATACTTGAATTGTATGAAAAAGCAACTGCTCTTATAAAACATTATAAAACATTTTCCTTCTCCTGACACTGAACTTGTTGACATGTGACCCTGAGAATTAGGATCAGCCATGGTCATCACTAGCTTCCCTTCCTAGGTACATCTTCAACTCATAATCTCATATCCACACCCACTTCAGAATATTTTAAATTGTTAGAGATTCTGCTTTCATCATTGGTTATTTGATAAAGAACTTAAGCAGCCTCAGCAGAAGCACCTTCCCTCCATTTTAATTATGTAACTCTTCCAGCCTTTCAGCTTAAAAGTTTGAAGCTCTAACAAGTTTAGCTTACAATGTACTATACTAAGTTTATGTTTCTTTTGGGATTAGGTGGCATTACAGCAGTAAAAGGAGAGGTTGACTCATGTATTTCCATATTAACACAAGGTTGCCACAATAATCAATGGTGGACTCAAATGCTCACCAACTGCAGAAGAGGATAAAGCCCACCTCCAACAGTAGAGAAGTCTGCAGTTGTATACATCGGTGAGTGAGATGAAACACATATACACACTAGCCCCTATAATGCAAGGTTTTCATTGGTTACAGTAATCCAATTATGTGTGATCTCTGACACATTCCAGGATTAAGCCTCCTAATGTCTGGCTTTCTCTGAAGAAAAAAAAATTACTAGAATAATATCTGGATTTTTGCAGATAAACAAATGAAGTAAAATTAGAGCCAAACATCAGACCAGTTGTCTCGTAAGGGATCGCTAGAATGTGATTACCTGCACCTTGGAGAGGTATTGCCTTCCAAAACAAACTACATCATGAATATCTTTCACTAATTAACACCCTTTGATCTATCTGGATCATTAAGAAATATTAACGTTTTGTGATCAAATCACAAGCAGCGATCAAATTTTACTTTGAGGCAAGCCCATGATAATAATACTACCTTACTTGGACAGCAGCTTCACAATTACCTAACCTTCTCTTTCTTCTCCTCCTTCCCCTTCTTCTCCTTCTCCTTCTTCACTGAATCATCCCCTAGTTCAAAGTTTCCTTCTGGTATGACCACACATTGAGAGAGTATCTCTCTCTCCCACTATTTGTATTAGAACTGAAGTACCTGGGTGTGTACAAATGTACAATACATAAAAAGGAGGAGTTACGACAATTCAACCTTATGCAAATGAGACCAACTTCTCTGTAGCATATGTTTTTTCCCAAAATACATGTTCATTGGCAATCATATTGCTAATTCAATCACCAATTTATTCTTCCTGCAAGTTCTGTGCATTTTTGTGACTGTGCAGACACATTTGCATACTTCAAACATTGTTGGGGGTAAGCAACATTAGACATAGATGAGAAAAGAAGTAATGAATAATAAACCAAAGGAACTAAAGCATGAGGTAAGAAAAGGAGAATATAATATAATTAACACTAATATCATCCATTTTAAAGACAGTCTTAACTGCTTCCATTTTTGATAATAGGAATTTCAGTATTGATAAATAGTTTACAGATTCAAGAATTCCTGATTATCTGTTGGAAAACAATAGAACCTGTTTTTCCAGATTTATTTCTTGCTTCTTAAGGAAAGGACTGGGCAGTAATCTTTGTTTAACATTTTTGTGTTGTATTGCAAAAAAAAAAAAAAAAAGATTCACCTTAAACTAGTTTCATTTTCAAGCAGTTCATGTATTTTTGAAAGTGATCTATGTGTAAGGGAATATGCGAGAAAGCATCTTTCCTTCAGGCTTTTGAAAGACTGGTAAAAGTTGCTGCAGTGACCAAATTTGGAAAAACAATATCAGGAGATATGAAATGTGCACTTGGTGCCATTTCATTTGGTTGTAGGTCGAAACTCGATAAGCTAATGATTCCGCATATCTGAATTTCCAGAAGATGCACTGTGTCTCAGCCAATTTAGGTGCAGGTAACATCCTGGAACAGCCTTGGGCACCCAGAATGAGGCTTGCTGTATTTAACATTTCAGGGAGAGTCCAATAATCACAATGCGTGAGGAAATGATACAAAGTCAATGGGGATTCTACACATAGACTGGGTCAATATTTTCCAGATTTTCAGGATTTGGATTTGGTGTGCTTCGTTAGAGTATTTTTCTTTCCATTTCTGAACAGGGTTTACATTTATTTTAAGATTAAATTACAGGTTTTGCATGTATTCTGCCTCAAAATGTCAGAAAATCAGGTGAACAATTTTTCAGCAATCTTGCCAGTGAAATTGGCAAAGGCACTGCCAGGACTTTCAGAAAAAAGGATTTGGATGGCAAATGCAGCCATAAGGTTACAATTTGCACACCACTGGACTGCCTTGGTATCCCTGCACCAGTTTAATTGATACCGTGAACAGAATATTGAATGCACTTCTTAATACCCTCAGTGCTTTGAGAATAGTTTTTATCCAAGTGCTCAGTAAACTCACTTTGTGAGATTTCTAAATGTGATAAATAAATAAGTTCATTTTTAAAAACTACCTTATCTTTTGTTGCTTGTCAGCTCCTAACAATACTTTCCCCACATGTTTTAACCTCCTTGTGCACTGGCATACCCTGTCCACCATTCCTCATTTGGCACCTCCCAAACATACAGAGATGCACCATTAGCAGAAAGCAGAAAAACAGGTGCCTGACACACATGGTCATATGCAAACATTCTTAGATATGTTCAGGGCTTTTTTTGTCATAGAATGCCCAGAACAGAGTTCCGGCACCTTTTTTTTGATGGAAACCTTGTAGTGTAGGCAAAGCGGTATGACGTGTGAGTTCTGGCACTTTTTTTTTTTTTTTTTTACAAAAAAAGCACTGGATATGTTAACCTCCATATACAGAAGAAAATAATAGACAACTGCTGAAGATGGGATGGGATTTCAACCTCCATGCCATGTGAAAAGCTCCAGAGAAAGAAGCACGAAGCCAAAAACACCAGCCTGAAGATGACGAATGAGACTTTGTCGAAACGTCACCAAGACACTTCCAATTTTATGCGGGAGAAAACCCAAATAACCAAAGACCTACAAACACCCGTGAAAACCTCAGAAAACATATATATATATATATATATATATATATATATATTATATATATATATATATATATATATATATATATAGGTCTTTGGTTGTTCGGGTTTTCTCCCGCGTAAAATTGGAAGTGTCTTGGCGACGTTTCGACGAAGTCCCATTCGTCATCTTCAGGCTGGTGTTTTCAGCTTCGTGCTTCGAGCAGCAATGTGTGGTCTTAGCTGTTTCTTCCTTTTAACTGCCAGTGGGGGTATGAACTGATTGGGTGGGAGCTTGGCTGTGTTCTGATTGGGTGGAGGTGTGTTCTGATTGGTTAGGGGCGTGGCTGTGCTCTGATTGGCTGGGGGGTTGGCTGTGCTCTGATTGGCTGGGGGGTCGGCTGTGCTCTGATTGGCTGGGGGAGTGTTCTGTTTGGTTGTGCTCAGGTTAGTCTGAGTTGCAGTTACTTTGCTGCTCAAAGTACGAAGCTGAAAGCACCAGCCTGAAGATGACGAATGAGACTTCGTCGAAACATTGCCAAGACACTTCCAATTTTACGCGGGAGAAAACCCGAACAACCAAAGACCTACATACAAATACCCGCGAAAACCTCAGAAAACATACATACATACATACATACATACATACATACATACATACATATATATATATATATATATATATATATATATATTGTTTAATGATGCAATCTTCGATCTCCGGGAAGAGTATACTCCAGTTATTTATTGTTAAAACCACATTTAAAACAATAAAAACAGTTATATACAAAAATTAAAACAACTTAGCTTTCGCTGGTCCTCTGCCAGCGTCCTCAGAGTGGGGCTTAGGGGGTGGGAAGTTCTTTTTATCCCCTTGCTGATCCAATTGCCTACTCATTGCCCTCGTGACAGGGCCACTCTTCCTGATTGCCTGTGACAGCCTTGCCTGTTCCGCCCTCTCTTTTTTGCACTCTAACATTGTATTTTCCTGTTTTGTCATCCTTGTGCTGTCTCCCCCTCCCTGTGCTGTTATCAGTAGTACGCTCCTGGGCTGCTGATCTGCCTGCCGTTTTTGCATACCATTGCCAGTTCCTATTGCAACTCTCTCCTCCAACCCCCCTCCTCTCCCAGCCTGCCAATTCATACACCCTTTGTTGTCCATTCCTGTCATCCTTCCCCCTCCTTCCTTCAACCCTCCCACCTGTTGATTAACATGTTGCTCCTGCCTTTCATCAACCATTCTTATTGATGTTCTCTTCCTCAATATCTTTTCCTTCCTGATCCGCTGCTCTACCTGCTGTTCCTGTTTACCCTCCTCTCCCACTGTCCATCTTCCCCTCTCCAATGTCCTCCCCATCATCTGCTGACTTGCCTGTTGTTCATCCATTTCTGTACATCCTCTCTTTTCTAGCATCCTCATCCACTTAATTATCATAACTAATAACATCCATGTCATCAAAGAATCACTTCATCTTATTAAGTTTCAATTAATTAATAATTCATTTCAAATCTAAAACATCTCTTCAACATCCTCTCTTTTCTATGCCCGGGATTCGTATTTTTATAACCATTAAGGACATATATATATATATATGAAATTTTATTCGTTTTTTAATTCTTATAACAAAGTATTCAGGACACACCGTGGTGCTAGGGTAATCAAACATCCTAGAACAAAACATATATACATAGTACAATCAATACATCAAGTATTCCTTCTCTTTTTCTCTCAAATAGTATAGTATATTTAAAATATCCAATTCTAGCTTAAATTTATTCAACCTGAATCTGTTTTAAAGCTTTATAAATTTACAATACCGTAATCAAGCTAACTTTAAATAAAGACATTTTCAATTCAGATATCCCTTCCAAGTATGTTCTACTTCCTTAATTTTATCAAAATCTTATTTATTTCTTCTTTCACTAATCTCCCCTATTTAAAATAAAATATTAATCTATCCTATACCTATCTAATCCATCAATTAATCAATCAATCTCTTTAAACTGACAAGATAATATCAGACCTTAAATCATTTCAGTCCATTATACAGAATTCAAATCTCATCCACTTAATTATCATAACTAATAACATCCATGTCATCAAAGAATCACCTCATCTTATTAAGTTTCAATTAATTAATAATGTAAGAACGTCCTGCTGATGCGTGAATCAAACAAGCCACCAGGAACGTTGCAGTAGTCAACAAGGGTTTATTGCTCTATGTTGAAAACAAAGTCAACTCTGGGAAACTCCCCGTCCCAGTGTCCTAAATACAACCCGTCACCACACCCACCGCGCACGCCCCAATTATCCCAATTACCCCCGTAGATTACAACCCCACCTGCACCACACCCTGTCTCCCCATGTGTTGTCCATCGGTTCCATAGCGTAGCGGCACAACCGCGCCTCCGCCCCGCCCCATCTTCCCAGCGACCACGTCTTGTCAGACCCAGCGTCATAGTTCATCCACAGGTCAGCGTGTCCGTCCCGTATGGTCCCGGTGTATCCTGTTCTCCCGTTCTTCATACTAATTGGTTACGTGGTCCGCTCGTCACTGTGGAGGCGCCGGTAGCATTCCGGTAACGGCGCCGTTGATTCAGCTCACACAGGACTGCTTGGAGAAGCAGGTACCGTTCAACGTCTGTAAGAGGGCCGGACTCCGGACCACACACAAGTAGGACTCACGCTGGGTCTGACATTCGGCAGACATGTTTTACTGTACCCCATACTTGACCTGCACGGGACATCCAGTCTCCAGGTTGTTGGTTCAGGGCTTCCTGCGACCCGCCCCCGGGCAATGGAACTGGGTCGTACCCGTAAATTACTTGAAAGGGGGTTAATCCGGTGCTTTTATGCACTGCGTTGTTATACGCTAACTCTGCGAATGGCACGAAATCTATCCAATCCGACTGCTGGTAAGATACATAAGATCGTAGATATCGCGCAATTGCTGCATTGGCCCGTTCCGCCGCTCCGTTGTTACA